GATCTACTTTTGGGCGGATGTACGCACGCATACATTAAAAGCGCCATTTTTGTATTCCCGAATTTTTTCAATATTTTTATTGCGCTTTTTATATGGTTCTTAATTCCAAATACTTGACTATCACTGCAAATTTAAAGAGGATACGAATCATTTACCATTTTTTGGCAAACAAGTGCCTCTTTAATATTTAATATTCTACACAATTGAGTTTTTAAAATGAACATATACGCGAGCGCCTTTTATTTTTCGCAAGCATTTGAAATGTACACAATGGCTTCGTATCGAATTTTTTTGGTCTAACATTTAAATACGCAAACGTTTTCTAGCATTCACCTACGATTTTTGTTCATAATTTGTCCCATTTGTACTAACATTTTATTATCGTCTTTGTGGCTCAAATTACTTTTTAAAAAGGCTGATGCTAGCATTAAAGTCATTATACTTTGAACTCTCGTTCACCTTCCTTATGTCGCTTTCTTCGCTTACGGTTTCTCACGTTTTGCAAATAGCATTTGCATATTTGAAATTTCTTTGCGATTGATTTATGATTATTGAGCTTTGCAGGTAGCAAATACGCTTTCTGCCTACATTTATTTCTTATTTGCATAGACATTAAGAACAGTTTTATGTGCTCTTTGAAGTAGAATGGTAGCAATTGTTTATAAGCGTCCAATTTACTCGGTTTAAGATCAAAGAAACTGCTCATATTATAAAAGAGAGCAATGGAAAGTAAATTTTTTGCCATACAACTTCTAAAAAAAAATTACGATATTACTCTTCCACAATATCGTAAATACATCTTGATTAATTACTGCAATAAGTATGAATATCGATTTAAAAGTAACGGAAAACAATTTTTTTTGGCATGAAACTTATAAAAAGCGTTACGATGTTACTTTTCGAACAATATCGTAATTTTTTTTTTATGTACTTAAGTATTTAGATCGTTTTAGAATTAACGGAAAATAAATTTTTTGTACAAAAGTTATTAAAGAGTCTACGATTTTACTTTTACCATAATATCGTACAAAATTTCTTGTTGATCGATTTAAAATTAGTGGAAAATAAATATTTTTAGGTTAAAAAGTTAACACAAATTTTATCACTCTAAAGTAACTAATAATGATTTAATAGAAAAAATAATTTACGATATTAATTTACGATATCATAAAAAATGCGTGAAGCAGTATTTAGTTTAACAACAAAAATGGTTTTGCTCCAAATTTTTACGATGTTAAATATTTTACGTTCTGTGATCTCTGCGAAATTTTTCTTTATTTTTGTTATAGTTTCTTTTTTATTTAATTATCTAATAAGTAATAAAGGTCACACATTTGAAAAGCCTTATCAAAGCCAATATCGTAAGTCAAGAAGTTTGTATGCATTTTTTTCATATGTATATGTATGTATATTTAAACTCTCATATGCTTGTTGACAAAATATTAAATAATTACGTTTTATCTTCCCAACGCCAACGGACAGATTACCGACCGTCGCGAGCTATCAGTCTACGTCCTGAACGAAGCCTGAGCCAGGGTTTCACCTCCCTGGAGCTCGATACCGTAGTGGAGGAACGTAGTGATGTGGAACAAACGCAAACGGAAATACTTAATGCCGAATCACCCATGGAGACGACCTCCTCATACCGGATGTCCTTTTCAAGCTAACAATTAGCGGAAAAACAAAAGCTACAACAACAACAACAGCAATCACAATTACTACAAATTTCAGCAACCACCACAACGCCCACAACACCGCAACTCGTGGAAAAAATGGCACACAAACGCACACATTCACAAACGCGTTTCAAAATACGCAAAACCGAATCGGTGCAGGAGACCCCGTTGGGTGCAACACCAACCAACAAACGTGCCGCCAGCAAGAAACGCTTCTCTATGCGCAAATCACGTTCACTTGACGCGGAAGCATACACGCTGGCCTGCGTGCAATCGCCGCTCTGGGCGACATTAACAAATGCCCGTACAATCAATGAAATCCTACAAGACGATTACTAAAAGAGGAGGCAGCGCAGCAAGCGGGTGTTGAATAAAAGAGCAACCAAACTACACAAATAGAATAAAAAAAATGGTGCGAAAGTTTTGCCTGTCTGCCGTGAATAAGCAGATATCCAGATAAAGCCAATAGCCGTAAAAAAGCACTCCCATTTGGATATACACCTCCACCACTCATCGTAAACTACTTAAATCGAGAAGGAATTTACAATTAATTTGGAGAAATGAAAAAAGAACATCTTCTCCACTCAAAGAGTGTGGGTAGTGTAAAAAATATGTAATTCAGCAAAAATACGCTCCCCTAAAGAGGCGAAAGCAGACTTATTAAAAATTTATTGTTTTCTGTATTGATATTAAAAAAATTGAATATTGATAAAGTTGCAATATATTGGTAATAAAATTGAGTAGCATAGTATAAAAGTAATTTAAGAACAAATGTACTAGAGAATTTACTAACTAAATTTGTACTATATAATTTGCAAAAGTTGATGTTAATTTAAATTTATAGTAAATTAATGAACAAGTGGAACTTTGAAAATATGAGTGAAAAAAGTAATAAAAACAATTTTCGCAGCTGAAGTCCCTACATAATACTAAACTACCGTGTTTTATTGAAAACAGCTAGACATTATTTTAAAAAGGGAGGGTTTTGGGTACATGTAGAGAGAAAGATTTTCAATTTAATTAAAATATGTTTCTCAACTAAACTGTCTTCAAATATTGTTTGTGAAATATTTTAGTCGTATAAATAAATGGTTGTAAGGTAGAGATGAAGCAAGCTTGATATTAGATAATATATGAAGTATATATATCTAAAAGCAGTACGTATTGCTTTAATTTGAAAAGTATTGCCCCTAGTAGTAGATCACATAACTAACCCACAAACTGGAGAGGGTCCTAAACACAAGCATATCGTTGTAGATTTCAAAAAATTGCATACAATTTGCTACTTATAAGCAATCAGTTGAAGAATTTCTAACCAAGACTCTACTAACTTAAGAGCAATTCCTAACATTTTGAAAATAAAGTTGTTTTAAGAAATCAATATAAGAAATCAATATTTCATTTTTATTTTGAAAATAAAGTTGTTTTAAGAAATCAATATTTAACCCACATCGCTTTGAGACACTTAAGAATTAGAAAGGATATCGGCTTCGACGTAAATATTCGTTGTCAAAAAAGTCTTGCGATATTTTTGCTAGTTGGCGCTGAGAGCGCGTAGTTCTAGTTTTATTCGTCGCATCGGATCATGCTATACCTTTTTGGAAAGCTCATTTCACGCGCTAACACGAGTTGGATTGATTGTCGTTTCTTTTTTGTCGTTCGTGAGTTATAGCGTCGCAAACATGAAGAAAAATAAAAAGAAAATACGGCATATTTTACAGTACTACTACGATAAAAGCAAAAATGCATCTCAAGCCGCCAATAAAATTTGTGCAGTTTATGGATCCGATACAGTTTCCATTTCCACTGCATAACGATGGTTTCAACGTTGTCGTTCTGGTGTAGAGGTGGTCGAAGATGCGCCACGCTCTGGAAGGCCAGTCGTCGAAAAATGCGATAAAATCGCTGAATTGGTCGAAAGAGACCGGCATTGTAGCAGCCGCAGCAGGTCAAGAGCTGGGCATGAGTCATCAAAAAAAATTTTATGAACAATTGAAAATTCAATAAAAATACTGCAAGACTTTTTTGACAACCTATTATATGACCCCCGGTAAGCTTTTTCAACTGGCACTTTTTTTTCTAAAAATGCAGGTTTGCACATAGAACTACAAATTTTCCAAAAACCAAAGAAAAATAATTAATAGAACCAATCACAGTGTTTCAAAGCTTAAAGGTAGCTGAGGTAATAAGATTTTATACACAGCAAAGTTTTGCACTTTGAAAGCTTTTCATCACCCTTTGAGCTTTCATTAAGTTACATTAGCTGTTTGTTTTAGACAGCTTTGATAAAGCTCATTTAACTTTTTACACACTTTTTTGTAAGTTAATAGCAACTGTGCAGAGCGACAAAAGTTAAAATGAAAGCTTGCTGAGGTTTGAGAATATGAACACGAATGTCATGGGACACAAAAATGTCAAATCCTGCACTTCTGTACTCGTTATAAACATGATTAACATATAAAGCTTCCTCTTACAAGCGTGAGACTGCCTCCACTTTGGAAAAACGAAGTAGAAAAAACGTTTGCTTCTCCTAGTGAACCGAACTGCGTTCAAATTATGAAAAAATTTATAGATTAATCAAAATCTCTTTTAAAGACAGTCAAGAGAAGAGGAAGGTATATAAAAGATTCATTTTCATGCACTATAAGCTCTATTAATTCAACGAATATGGTAAACAGTGATTTCAGACCTTTATGCTGGTAGATTTCAAATAGATGCGAAAATATATCATTTTACAGTCACATTGACGAAGCGTAAAGGGTGCACTCAAAAGTAGACATGGTGCCAATTTTTATACCCCGAACAATATATAAAGTTCAGCACGAAGTTTATAACAACCAGAAGGAAAAGTCAGAGATCCTATAAAGTATGTTTAGACATGTCCTTATCTATTCTTCTGTATTTGTGCGAACTATTGAAATATCCTTCCAAAATCTCACACTTTTCCTCACCAAGAAGTTGACATACCTATCTCGCAAACTGACCAATAGCAATACGGCTCTGGTATGGAGAACTTGTATATTTGACTAGACGACTTCACGAATTTTGGCATAGATCAATGCATAGAGCAACGCTACAATTTCCGAGCATATTGTTTAGATCGGACCACTATAAAATTTACAGATCAAAATCAAGATGATGATATTGTTATACAGTTATACACTTGTATGTTATTAGAAAATACCTGTACCCTTTACTATACGTTTTTCTTTTTGAGTTTTGTCAATATTAAATTAAAAATACTTTATAGATACTTTGAGTAAATATATTAATATATTTAAATTTTAGTCCCTCATTACAACTGATTATTTAACTTAACACCGAATTTTCCAAACAGTTTGCTCTTTTACAAATCTTCACACTTTTAACACTTAGCACCCATTAGTTCTCCTTTCGCTTCTTATTATTCTGATTCTCGCTGCTTTGGTCAATGCTAGACTTTGAATGCGACTTTCGTTTGTTCGAGCGCCCGCCATTGGAACCATTAACGCGTTCAACCGTTATTGAATTCCGTGTTGTCAACGCGATACCAACCGCTTGGCAGCTATTAGACGAACTTGAGGCTGAATTTGCGGCATCTACAACCTCTAACTGTTCCATTTTGATGGGACGTATAGACATGGCGTTTGGCGCTATCATTAAGAGACTATTATTACGCTGGGCGTTAGTCATCAACGCATTATCGACGCGTTCACACTTCAACTGAAATTGCTTGACCTGCACTTGACGCAGCGGTGATGCGCTATCACGTACCGTAGACTCATGATGTCCATTCAACCTATGCCTGTCATTATTGTTTAACTCATTGCTGGCATGTGATTCGGGACAATTCGACGTTTGTTCCTGTTGTTGTAGTTCTTCCTGCTGCTTCTGCCATTCCAGGACACCAGTGAGTAGCTTGATATATTTAATAGCCATGCGAAGTATTTCGTTCTTGGAGAGCTTCTTGTCTGGAGGATGTGTGGGGACCAACTTGCGTAGCTCGGCAAAGGCGCCAGAGACATTCTGTTGACGCCAACGTTCGCGTGTATTGGTAAAGACCTTACGTACTGGACCGCCGCTTAGGTTTGGAGCATTCTTCAAAATATTGCTATTATTCGGTGGAGAATTGGTTTGACGTGGCGGCTGGAGTATATTCATGTTGCGTGGCGAAGTGGAGTGCGAGCGTGAGGCTAAATGAGGATGTGACGAACAGTTTACTACTTAGCTCAATGTTTTTTAGCACCGTAGTATGGTTAAAATCTTTATTAGAAACTCACCATCCCCCTGACTGCCATTTGAAAGCACACAATTGCGAAATTCTTCGTCATCCTCTTCAGTGTCGTTGAGTGAAAAATCAGACAGGTCACCGTCGGATATGGACTCAGTTTTGGGATTTAGATAAGCTGGTTGTGCCACTGGTAAACGCACCAATGCTGGTGGATTACCATTTGTGGCACTGATACGCAAGCTATTAGGTAAGACTGCTGGCCTCAGATCTCCAGCGGCATTACCAGCGCCCGTCTTGGGCGAAGTTGATCTTGTTCCTGTAGCTCTAGGCGAAGTATTTTCCATCTTGCAGCTTCTTAGACTGTTACTTATATCACTTTTATTGGAAGCTGTGGGAATATGTTCCTCTGTCTCTCCCGCAGCTACCCAAACCATTGCAAATAATGTAAAAATAAAACACTTCTTGCACAGTTTAACACTTTAGCGGAATGCTGTGGACCATACAGCTTCAGCAACAAAATCGAAATGTCATGTAGACACTTCTGTGTGTATTTTGGAAAGAAATTTTGATATGTTTGCCACTGCCACTATCAGCGCCGCAGCAAGTGGTGTTAAACCAACCACAGCCTTCATTATGGGCGGCGCTAGCATGCATATAGCTAGCAATATGGCAGCGCAAAACGGAAACTACCCTAAAATGTGTATGTTGTTGTTATTGTTTAGAAGTGCACAAGAGGAGTGTCCTTTTTGGACTGACTAGAGATAAAATCGTTACTTTTTCTTGTGATTGAAGAAGTTACTTACCTAAATTTTGAGATTTGTTTTCGAAGTTGATAACAGTTTTTAAGATATACAGAAATTTAAAACCTAAAAATGCGAACAACCTATATTTAAATGTTGAACCAACCAAGTATGATGATAAGGTAGGAGGAAAATTATTGTGCATACATAAGTAAAAATTATTAATTTTCAAATTAATCAATATATAATATAATTAAATTGATATTCATTATTTATATAAAATATATTAAAGTATTAATATAAATTTTAAATAAACTTCTATAATATTTTCGGAATCGATAAAATATTTGAAATTAGTAAATTTTTTTCTGACTTACCCAATCTAGCGGATGTACATATCTATACTTCTTAGCGATAAAAACTAGCTGGAGATTTTCGACGGCATTTACGCCACTATTTAATTACTGTTTTTACTTAGTCCTAACCGGGTAATGCATGTATTTTTCACTTTAACGTGTACCACTTTTTATTTTATAAATACATATGTATTTTAACTTATATTCTTTTACGCACTACTTTTATTTTTAGATATTTTTGCATTCTTGCTTATATATTTTTTAATTGACTCATGATATTAAATTTTACACTTTTATATGCTATATTTTTGAAAAACACTAATTATTATTTTTTTTCTCTTTTTTTAAAGCACACATTTCTTTTAATTTTCATATTTATATATTTAAGCACAAAATAATTATTTTATTTTATTTTTCTCAAATGCTTTTTAATGCAMATATTTTTTTATATTTTTTTTCTGACATGGACACTAATTTTATTATCGATTTTTTTAACACTTATTTTAAGAAGCTTTTTTATATATTTTTATTTATTTACACACTCGAAAAATAACACTTTATTGCCCTTATACTGATTGCCCATTACAATGATTTTTTTATCTTTTCTATTTTAAACCACTACACTTTTTGCTAGATTTTTTTTTTCATTGCTTTTCTATTTTCATTTTAATTTTTTACACCAAACCTTTTTTTATTTTTTTATCTGATTTATGCACTATGCCTTTTTTCATTTTTTATTTTTATTTTATACGCACCTTTTTATTTTCCACACTGCACTATTTTTTATTTACATACATATATTTACATTAATTTTATAACCGATTATTGGCTTTACAATATTAAATGCCCATTACATTATTATATTTCTATTATTTTGGCACCCGCACTACCTTTTTTTTGCCTCTCATCGATGGCTTTTTTCATATTTTTATTTATACACCACACTTTTTTCACTTATATGGGCATTTCTTTTATAACCGATGACCGGCTTTCCTTTATAAAATGCCTACTTAAAAGGCTTCATACATTTTTATTTTTTTTTTTTACTCTGCTATTTTATTTATTTACTTTCAGCAAATGATATTTTATTTGATTTAACAGAAATTGAAAATTTTTTATTTTTCAACCTTTTAGCACTTATTTGCATAAAGCATTTTTTTTATATTTTTTTACTTTTTGAACACATGCACTACGCTTTTCTTTATTTTGATAGCTTGATTTTTAATTTAATTTCCCACGATCTACACTATTTTCATAATTTTTATATTTATTTATTTTATTTTTATTATTTTTTTTCATTTCACTTATAAAATGCTTTATTTATTATATGCACAATTAATTTTATACATTTTTTATAATTTAAAACTTTTTTTTTTACTTTTTATGACATGCACCAACTTGTTTGCCATAATATTGTTTTACATGCATTACCCATGCCTATCAGGCGGTACAGTTATAAATTTCAAAGCCACTGTGTATTTCAATAACACATACACTTTTTGTTTCATTTTTGGTTTTTGTTTTTGCTATTGTGAGCGTAACGGATTAGCAAACTGTTATGTAGGTCACAAACCAACACAAAATACTACTTTGGCTTTACAACTGTTCTCCGTCTGTCGAGTTTTTGTTTCTGCATTAGACACGAACACCACCAACTGCACGAATACTCACACGAGCCACTTGCCAATTGCTAAATTTTAATTCATTTATTTTCAGATTTATATTAAACCATATCTAGGCCTACCAAGCCGATTTTAGTTATTTTATTGTCTTTTTCACGTTGCACACATTTTCAATTGTTCACAACCTTTCGTTTGCCTGTAGCCCCTAGCTGCAATTTGTTCTTGTAACTGTGCACACTCGACTGACGCCACCGCAATTATTTTCATAAGCGAATTTTGCACACAAATTCATAGTTCCACTGAATATTTCAGTTTACACTCTTACACAAACACTCAATGCATTGTTTTAAGTCCGAATAATGTAATATTTTGCAAAATTAAACACAATATAAGAGATTTTCACTTTCGGCAATTGGCGGCTAATTTTTTCGTGTGGACGCGAAGGAAACAGAAAAGCGAATGAGAGCTTTGGCACGGATACAGGGTTGTATGCATGTTTCAATAAATTTTAATGACAAAATGGCATGCACTGAACATACCTTACATTTGAACAAATTTTAAAATGCTTGTATGCAAAAACAAAATGTAGGAATCTTAATATTTTTAAAATAAATAGCAGGACACATACACACATTTGGCGATTTATTTTATTTTTGTATTTTGTGTATTTTCATTCCTTTCATTTACAATTATTGTAAGTTGAAATGTAAATAAAATAAGTCATATTTCACACAGGTAAAGATTAAAACTCAATTTAAATATATGTACATATTTAAAATTATAAAAAAAAGTATTACAAATAAAACGAATACTGTCAACAATACTTACATAAAAATAAAATAATATAAATAAATAAATTAGTCCCCTTATTAAAAAAAATATACATATGTAAATAGAAAAAACTTAAAAAAAAAATAAATAAATACATATGTACATAAAAATTAAAATTAAAATATCATATATGTTTGCGTTTCCTGGCAAAAATTTGCTTTATTGAGATTATTAATGAAACAAAATAATACATTTTCGTATACTTTAAGGCGTTTTATTGTTAATATAGTTTTATGAACTTTCTAATAATTCGAAATGGGCATTATTACAAGTTCCTAATTTTTTATAAAGTTTTATAGGTTATATTACGCAATTAAGGTATTTATAGTTCAGCAAAAAAATTTTTAAGTTAAAAATTAATCTCATATAACTAAAACCATATGAACCCTTTATACAAGAAAAAAAAAATTCTATTATAATTAATTTTATGCTCTAATTCGTCATTTAAATAATTTTATATTCTTATATGTCGAAATCTATAATGAAATATTTGGAAAGTGTAAACGTAGACTAATGAAAATGTTTTCTTAACAAAAATATTCTCAAAAAGTTGTTGCTCTCAATAATAATAATTATTATTGTTATTTTAAATATACATTTTTTTAGTTAGTTTTTTTTTGAAATTATAAAAAAAATATTTATAAAAAAACTATTATGTATAAAAAAAAACAATTAAAATGCACAAAATATTATTATTAAACAAATTTAATACGAATGCAAACCTCAAAATATTCTTTTCAATTTTTAAAAAGTGTGAAATGAGACTTATGCATATTCAGGAGTCTGAAAAATAAACATCCAAAAAGTGCATAACAAACATTAATACCCACTTATTTTATGCATTCATATTTTGTTTAATATATACGCATACACACACGTCAACATAAATATAATTTATTTTAACATTATTAATAAACATTTATAAAGTTTTAACAATTCTCATGCAACTCTGTCACCTGTCACCCTGTGTGTGCACAGCCATAACTGCCGCGTAAGCGCCGTTATGTTTTAGTTTCCTTCGTCGCGTATAAAATTGTCGATTGCTCTGCCGTGAGCTGTGAATAAATTGTGAATCTTTCGGTAAATAACGGGGCGAGTGCGGGTTTTTTGTGAAAATATCGTAGTGTGAATAGTGTTTTAATGAAAGTATGCAAAAAATAAGTCCGGGCGTTGTTTTTTAGCGTAAAATTCGCGTGTGTAAATGCTCGTGTGCGTTACTTGTCCATACAAGCTGCTGCGCAATTAGTGAAAAGTAAAGTGTATAATAAGAAAAGCAATAAAAAGTTGACGAACAGTAAATTCCAGGTAAGCATAATTGTATTGAAAATGTATATAAATAAGAAATAATGCCAAAATTCATTTTCGCACGTGCTGACACAGTGCCGAGCGGCTGCGTGCAATTGGAAATTGATTTTGTTTCGGTTTGTGTGTAGTGTTGTGCAAAATGCAAGTGTGCTAATGTATTCTGGAAGACTTGATGAAGCCTTTGGGCTTTAGATTTCCAGTTCCGGCGGTATTATTAAATAGAAATTGTTACTTTAAAATCTGGCACATGTAAATGTGCGCAACAAAAGTTTTAGTGGCGGAGTAAAAGTTTTAGTGCCGCTGACTCTGGTTGATGACTTAGCTATTAGGTTATACAAACTGTTGTATTGGAAGATTTGTGCTATGCAAACTGTTCGTAAAGCAAATAATGTGAGCAGCAGACGTAGAATATAAGTAAAATAACATAATAAATTTTTATGCAAATATTTTATTTTATTAAATTGTAATATTTTCATATATGGTATTCAAATAATAAACTAAAATTGTATAAAATGACAAATAAAAATTAGAAAATGTTTACAATAACGGAGAAATTTTTAAATAACAAGAAAATATTAACTTCGACTGCTCCGAAGTTAATTAACTAATTTATAAAATTAATTAAATTCTA